AAAAAAAATAAAAAAACATACAACGAATTCTACTGCATAAAATGAATATTATACTTACAGAATACAGAAACGATTATTTTCTATATCCAAACGGTCAGCCTTATAGATGCTATCTACTGCAGTAGTGCTATATATATATATACGTACAGTGTATTCCCATTGAAATTATTATGTTTGAAATCAAGATTCCGGATTTATTACACTAATATGCAGGACACGGACCGACTGTTACTCAGACCCGAAGAATAAATGATCGTTTTCAGCTAGGTACCTACACACAGCTATAATATATTGTAACATTTTGCTCTATGACGTGTAATCCAAAACTAACTTCCCTTATAATGAATTATCAAACCATCATTATCATATGGATCTACAAAGAAACCTAAGTCCTTAAAAACTTTCTCCTCACCTTTTTCACGTCCATTTCCTATTTAACACATATTCATATCGATTGAAATACAAATCCATCACACCCAACTCAATGAATTAAAACTTGAATGCATGGCCCAACTTCATCAATAAGTCTGCAGATTCAAAGTCCACGTTGTGATCATATTATGGTTGACCGTTTTAAATTAATTTGAACATCGACGACGACGATATCATCAGAAACAATGCGCCCTACTCGATTACGGATATTATATTATATTTCTGTCCCGTGCAGAAGGTCACACACGAATTTATCAAAATACTAACCGAAGTGGTCAACGACCGGCGTGGGATCTAACGTTCGTGACAACCTTATGATATTGTGATTGCACTTTTATATTATTATTTTATATATAATAATATGAATAAAGACATCATTGTCGTCTTGTCCGAGACAGGAATACAAATTTCAATAATTTTTCTCTTATTCATTTTAATTATTTCGTTGCTCTCACCACACGGCGCGCCGTTCACGTGTGTGTGTGTGTGTGTGTGTGTGTATACAACACGTGTTGTACACGCGTGCACACAGATATGTATGCATTGTTTTATAACAATATAATATTATTATGATAATATGGTTATATATATATATATGTATATATAATATTATTATATATTATTACGATGTTATCGCCGTGCGGAGACGGGCACTGAAATCCAGAGCCGCGTTGTATATTGAATATATATATATATATTGGTGGAAAAGCGGAAAATCGACAATACAATTTGTTAAATTTTTCTGGAGTCACTGACGGAACAGATCGGGAGATAGACGTGCACAAATTTAATGCACCGCGAGGTCATAAAAATATAAACTAATTAAATGTACATTTTTTGTATGTGATCAACCAAGAGCGTTTAGACTATTGTAAACGTATTGACGTAGTGAATTATTGTTATAAAGAGACAAACAACAAGTATTACACACTTAAATGAACTGTACAAAATCTAATATAATTTAAGCATAGAACCACTGGCGCCGAAACAACGGACCGGTATCGAAGAGGAACCTCGCCGGTGACTGAAACTGATGATCGCAGGGTCGGGTTTTCTAGTGGTCCGCGATAATAATATTATCATTATTATTATGTGGAATGGCAAGGCGTTTTGATGTGCGTATATTAAAATATTATTATTACCTACAATATTATGCAAATTCTGTTCGAAAAGAAAACGGAAAAATGTTTTTTTTTTTTTATAATGCGCTGCTGTGTCTCCGACGGAACCGTTTTCAAGGGCCCCGAGCGCCAATCCTAAGTACCCTCTGTTTTTTATTGTCACTAGAGTGAAGCAGCCAAAACGACCTTTACCCGAACTCGTCGTAATGATATCGACCTCCCCCTCCCCCCCCCAAAAAAAAATATAATATATACCTATATATATTATAAACTAAGCGTTGCACACCTACGGTGAAGGTTTTTTTTTTAAAGGTCCGCGTGGATGTCTGAAGAATATTATTATATAATACGTTCGGGACAAAAGTATATAAGTCATTACGAGAATGCACTTAGGGTTATTTTTTGAATGGCTTTTATATCGTAATTTATTTTATAACCAACTGCATTATTATTTTTTACAAACTGTAGCCCTTTTGTAGGTCATTCGAGGAGTTCAATAATATACTACTTACACACTATATATCTATGGATAGTCCATAAAAATACCACTATATACAAAATATTACCATAACCCCTTTGGCTTAACCTCTGAGTAAAATTTTCAGCACACACACACACACACACACACACACAAACACACTTGATAAGTTCATATAGTATTCTATATTTGTTATAGTATTATATTAAATTGGATTGTTGGGATTCAGTTGAGTGCCTATGTCAAATTTAACAATGTGTTTGCGTATTTTAACATCTCACGTCATCAACATCGTTTTCAAATGACAATAAAATACACGATACAGTCCAAACTACTATTACTTATGACTATTTGCATTAATTCCTATAATATTATTTAGACACACATTTTGGTGGAAATGTGAAAAATATTATGCTGAATGCTGAAGATAGGAAAACTATCTAGATTCTATATTATATATCACGTCCGCGTTGCACATTAACAATATCAACTGCTATCGAGATATGCTCCTCTGCCTTTGCCATTTGGTCAAAATGAAAACCATCAAACTGACGAAAAACGTGTACAGTACTTTACGCATATCATTATAATATAGGTAAAGAATAATTTTCGGGCTCAACCCGTACCTATAGACGTTCATAATAATAATAGTAATAATAATAAGCATTGTGCTCGATCACACGTCCGCGATATTGAAATTTTATTAGTTTCGTCGTGCTTACGCACTGAGTACTAAAAACTCATATAGTTCCCATATACATATATACTATATAGGGAATGAGTAATATAACCGTTCTCACCGACGCGGTCCGGTCTGGTATAGGACGACGCGCGTATACATAATTTGAATTCAAATTTTACTGGCGACGGATAAATAATATATAATGCATGGCGTCTATATACAACCATAGTCACGTCGGTCACACGCCATCGCGGATCTACGGAATGCATATTAGAATAATATAATATTATAAAATATGTGATTATTACTATTAGTATTACCATCGCTATCATTGTTATTCCGTTTATAACGGTGGCGATTTTAACCATTTCTAGGTGTGCGACCAGCAGTGGCGTGTCCTTGCCCTAATTATGAGCCTTGTGAGAGACGACATATCGTTATAAATTAGACGTGCGATTCGGGCCAGACCGTCGGTTAGTATTCCGACCGGCCGACCGCGTGAGACCCAATACTTAACCCGGAGAAAATATTACGTATCCGATAAATATATACATAAAAATACGAACGTATATACACGAGAACGTGCTCGATCGAATACCAATGACTGTGGCGGGTCGCGGTTCTCGCGCAAACATTTGGCAACAGTTTATATTATTCTCATCGATCCGGCTAAGCAGGCGTGGGAGAGGAGAACGAGGAATAATACCCTTTAACCAAAACTACACGTTGCAGACATTTAGTGAAAGAGTTTAAAAAAAAGAAAATATACAGAGAGAGCTGGGGAGTGAGAGACAGAGACGATATCAGCTATTTTACCTACCAGTCTCCTTCTCTCTAAGTTACATGTATGACAACACATATATTCGAATTGAAAAACATCTCATACCCATTTTCAGAAGAAACTTGACGTTTATGAGATACACACCTATGAAGTATTTAAGAGTTAGTTACAACAGCCTTCAATGACACCTGAATATCAAAATGATTTTTACGAAACGATGCGATAGTGATAGTTGTAAAAAAACAATAATCGAAATCCCTGTAAATGTATAAACGTATAATACGGTGGTTGAATATCTATAATAGCAATAAATGACATTAAAGAGACAACAGAATGGTGGAACACAATATGATACTATATACGCATAAGTATTTTAATATGTGCAATATTATTGTAGACTAGGTAATTGCAGTATACCATGTATCATCACAATAATAAAGAATACAATTAAGCGAAACTCGAAACGTAAATATCAATTTTTAGACTGTGCTTATTGGATGGATGACATATTTATATAGTGTTTTTAAATCGTTATGATTTAATGGGTCGGGAATGAACTTAACTACAAAAGTCAAACAAATGAAGTACATATTATATTCAATAAATAGTGTTTCGTCACCGTTTACATTGTTGTGTATGCCTATAATAGAAGGTCCTTTGGGTTTTTAACATTAACATAATAAATTATTTTAATGGAAATTATATTTGACAACAAGAAACATAGGAAATAAGAATTTCGGAAAACACAATAATTGCAGTCTTTTTATACTTTGGAAACACCGTAATGGCATTAAGTATATACGGACTATATTACTCTAACTTATCAAAGTTTAATAATGGCTTTTTTTCTATTATTTAAAGAGGTAAAAACTAAAAATAATTTTGGACAGTGTTGCTCGTAAACATCTATAAAATTCCATTTTTCCTATAGATTTCATATTTTATACTCGCGTGTATAATGATCAATATGTGAAAGTCGGTGTAAAAAGTACGTTCAGATTATTTTTTTCGTGTAATCTTTTTCAAGTTTTAATTTAAGATTAAAGAATAGTTAACATTTCTGCTATCAATGGAAATATTTAATATGTATATATTATTAGAATTTATTCATTTTTTTATCATATTTTAGAAATATTTAGGCTTTAAATATTAGGGCATACCAGTAGACACATTTAGAAAGTTTTTAGTGCTTGTACAATTCTCATCTTTAAACTAATACAAATATTATTATTAAAACTCCCAGGGATGTATTAAAGTAGGACAAGTGGGGCAATTTTCCTGTGTGGCTTTTTAGGGATTTAGGGAAACTTAGATAGAGTTACTGCCCACAACAGCTAATGACAATATTTAAGGTATACACCCATATGACTATATAATATAACCCCATTGGGCTGTATGCCCAACAATTCAATTCAATATAATATAATATTATACATATTAATTGGATTATTGTTTTCTAATATTATTATTATTACATTATATTGAATTTATACAAAACTCGCTTACCGTGACTATTGATGTAATTGGCTAAGTATAGGTCCAGCTCACGGACGGATACGTTGATGTGGTAAGGGTTCACGCACAGGCTGGGATGTGTGCACTCCGGTGACTTTTCCAATCGTTCTCCATCCGTGCTTTCGAGTGGGATCGCCTTGAACAGTATCACCATGACGAGGTCCAGCCGCCATACCTGTAACCAATGTGATGATTTGTCGGCTTTAACATAATTGTACATATATTAGGTATATATAATATCTATACACAATAGTATGTAGGCAGAGATTGATTAAGATTTTTGCCACCTGTCATAACGCCTAACAATACTGTTAGTGGATATCAGGATATGTCTCGGCAAGTCCAGTATTATTACTAAACATACGTCAACGGCAAGACAGCTAGATTTCCTTGACACTGAAAGACACCGTCGGGTATTGTCTTTTATATTTCAACATCGTAAACAGGATATATACCACAGAGGTGTGTAGGTACGATAATAATATACAAAATATCAAATTATTAATTCATTTACCTACATGTATAATTATTTATTACCTAATGTATATTAAATAAAAGTACCACATATACATTAAATATAAGCTCCTTATCTTAGAGTCCAAGTATCGTTTTATTGTTTATAAATTTATAATATAATAGAGTTAAAATGTTTAAATTAAAAACGACAAATGTAGAGATTAAAAAGCAATAATTTGTTTCCACCATAGGCTATAGCCTAAACAACCTACTACACTTATTATAGGACTGCAGTATCATAGGATTCATTCAATCATTGGTGGTAGAAGTACGTAGATCCTAAACAGTCGATTTTCGTTTTGTATTCAGAGTTTTATTGTCGAAACAATTTGAAAAAATATGCATAGCTGTTGCATATAATAGTGGTTCGGTCGTACACAGCTCTTGACAGATTAAAGGATGTTGTGGTTGGAGGGATAATATACGTTTTTACGAATTGCGAACCACCAAAAAACGTTACGCTTCGTTTACATTTATATTATTATATTATGATCCCTATCAGCGCTCGGACATTATTTCCAACCCTCATCACTACCCTCCGTTTTCAACAGTGAGTACCAATATAGTTCGTGTGTACACGGAACGTATCGGATAGCTAAAGTCATCTGAAATGAACTCTCCGATGAAGGATCCGAAATGTCAGACTTGTAATAAAACTTCAACACTTATATTATAACAATTTAAACAGTAATAAGTCTATCAAATTCAAAGCTTTAACAAACTAATTTGTGTAATTCGATTGTGTAAAAAGTTTCATTTTTTCAAAATAAACATTTCCAAATTGTAAAAATGATAAGACATTAGTTATCACGCGTAATTTTATAGCAACAAAATCAAGTAGTTCGACATAGATACATTTTTTTTGAACCTCAGATGAAGGATAAGAGATTTAGATTTGGATGGGGTCCGTTATAGGTATTCTTCTTCCCAGCCTAGAATACAATTTTGGGGAACTAAATCAAGAATTTTAATATTAAAATTCATATATGACATTTATACTTGCACAATATGTATAATAGTATAATAAAATGTTCATTTAAACACAAAAAATATTTATAAATTGTTCTTCCATATAACGGTTTGCTGTTAAAGATTACTAATAATGATGCATAGATACAATTCTATCTACAGTTTTGGCAAAAAACAGTGATGAAATGAAAATAATTTATTACATGGTAATTGAACTCGTACAATCTTCTAATTATATTATTATAGATGTATCTATATTACTAAAAATGCATATATTATAGATCGATTTGAAATTATACATAAAATATAAATTATTAATCAGCATAAGACAACGGAAATAAATTAAAAACGACGGGTACCGATTACATTATAATAAACCCAGTTCTAATACATTTTTACACTTTTCTAAATTTTTGCCGTCAATCGTCACATGAAAAAAATTAGATAAAATAAAATCACAAACAAGAAAAAAATTGAGTATGATTAAATGTAATACAATATAATACTGTGTGTATATTTTGTTCTGTGAAATAATATTAAAAAATATTATTGAGAATGAACGTAGTTGTGTATTGATGGTATTATTCTGTTTTTTATACGAAACACCTACGATATAAATGTAATAACTTCACATGTGTATGTATAATAATATATACATATTATACACACGCACGATGTACACTCAAAACCCAGCAGGAGTGATGCGTTTTGCAAAATAAATCCGTACAACGACCTGAACGCTATACACAATAATATACGCTACGGATGGTGGTTACAATCGCTAAAGGTCAAATTCGAATTTTCTAATGACTTCCTGCAGCTACACCGAACTCGCTTTGTGGTAAGTTATACATACATAATAATATAATACGTATGTGAAGAACATACAGAGTGGTTCTCCAAGTATGGTAAGTTGTCATCCATCATTTTTCAATACTTTTTTTTGAATTTTGAAGACCATATTTTCAATATATACTTATATTTTTTTCATAACATTTCAAGAGTATGATGTGGCTTGTAGCTATACACACTTTTTTTTTTAAATGTCGACATATTTAAACCGATGTTTGAAAGACTAGTTTTTAAGTTATTTAACATATTTAATATTTTAGTAAAAACAATTCAATTGACTTTTATCTATATTGTATAAGTATACATTTAAATAACTCAAAAATTACATGTTCAAATTTTAATTTAGATACATAAAATTTTTCCAAAAGATCACATTCTGCAGTAAAATAATAAATAATATATATATATATATTTAAAGTATGCATCGCCACAGGACTCATCTTAAATGGTATAAAAATTTGAAAGATGATCATTTTATGTATACTTATAAATTCAAAAAATTAGTATTTAAATTAATTCATCATAAAAAAAAATGGGGGTTTCCAATGTTTCCATGATTGGTGCAAATTGTACTATATACAATATATTTATGGACAATGGCTGTGTAGTGGGTTTTTGTTTCAAACCGCAACCAAACTATAAGAGTAGTTTACTGGGGTCGTCAATATTATATAATATTATTTGACTCGTCGCCGTAAATAAACGAATAATAAAAAATTAATAATAATGATGTGGCCGGCATGCGGTATTTCCGTTCGTATTATAATATAATATAATATACAGTACTCACGGTTGCGGATAAAAATTTTGTTTCACAATCAGTGTAACACTAAAATGTAATGGACAATAAATTTCGCTAATTGGATGCGACAGACACCTCGTTGGTTCGTAAATTAGCAGGCCACCTTCGATGTATTTCTCCCGAAGGCACATACGCACACACGTCACACACACGTGACACACACACACACACACACACACACGTATATACGCTCACGAGACTCGTGAACTCTGTTTTAGGTTTCGGTGTGGAAAGAGCGGAGAAGCAGAAGACGAGCCGACCAGAGATCGAAAATATATAATATAATTAGTTATTGTATTTTTAAACCGATTATTGCAACACGTATATACGGTGACATTGCGGCAGTAATGAGGTGTCGGATTCGAAATTAACATTTTATAATGAGATCGGACGGACAAGATTGAGTGCAATCAAACCCAGAAAATGTGTTCCGTCTGTAAGATTTATAGTAGAAGACATATTATATATACTGTATGTATACGAACTATGTATGTATATTTTCATATATATATATATATATGAACGAATGTGTGTTATTTAAATCACGGTTTTAATTGACATTTCTTTTGACTGTGCGTATAGATGTTATTCGGCGTTGTCGTTCAGAGGTAAGCTGCATCAGTTGATATTTTATATTATATTCCTATGGACTATGACACTATGACGCATGTACTTAATCGGCGTTTTACGATTTTTGTCTTGAAATTAATTATTATAAATTTTATTTTATCATCATACGTTTTGATAACGCTATTGTGTGATCACAGTTCAGAATATTTTATAGCTATACAATAGACATACATTATTTTTTAGTATTGGTTAAAAATGCCAAATATTTATATAACATTAGGTATGTTATTCGTGACCGAATAATAATATAACAATATTAATAGTTTGGGTGTATCTATTAATTTTATTAATTAAGTTTCGACATTGGAAAAAATAGCCCATTAAAAAATATGGACTTATGCCTACGTTGTCAATGTCTGTCATCCTGAAATAAGCCACAAAAATGTAGGCATAAAATATTATGTATACAGGATGCTATATTGCACACATAACATACTGAATTTTCATTACAGTTTTGTTGTTTTTTAATATTATAGTAATTTACCTAATAAAGAACTTGAATACAATAAAATATTATCCATGATTTCATTTATTTTAAATATTTTAGATATTTTAATTTTAACAGCAAGTTATTAATAGAAAAATTGCAATGATTTAAATATAATTGTTTCTTACTGCCTTGATTTTAAATTAAGAATCTGTATCATCACTCATTACGAATCATTTTTTGCACTAGTTTACAATTTATTTCAAATTTTAACACGCTACTTCTTACTAAATGGTATTTACTTGACATAATGTTTAGCTGTATTTTGAACATTATAGAGTTTAGACTATTAATAGTAAACTGCATAACCTTCATACCATTACGGCAGTACCCTTAAGAGTCAATATAATAGGAGCCTTTGGGACAACAACTTTTTATCCATAATACATAAGCACAAGAAGGAAAAATTTGAAAATGTAGTGGACATTTCTAAATAAAATTATGATTTTGATGACCTTATAAAATAGTTTCAACAAATGCTTATACCAAATAATTGCAAACTAATATGACACCAGCAATGAACATCCTACTCCACGAAACTGAATCACATCAAACATAACACCTTCAACTGGACATTCCCTATCGAAATATGCAGACAAATTGAAGTTATTCTATCAAGACTCAGAATCAGACATACTTAAATCTCCCACCATCTTAATGGCTAAAGAAGAATATGCACAGCTTGTGGTTTCCAAGTTACCATCAACAACATTCTTACTGAATATCGAATATACCCAGTGCCGGATTTAACCATTGTGCTGCACTAAATAACTTGCCGCCTTTTAATATAAATATTTTTCTAGTCTAAAAAATGTTATTAAAGCATACAATTATAGTTTTTTCTTTTATTACTTAAAATTTTAATGATGAAAAATAAAAATATACAACTACGATTATAAAAGCACTAACTTATAGTGTT